GTTACACGGGGCATTACACAGGGCTGTTACACGGGGCATTACACGGGGCTGTTACACGGGGCATTACACGGGGCTGTTACACGGGGCATTACACAGGGCTGTTACACGGGGCATTACACAGGGCTGTTACACGGGGCATTACACAGGGCTGTTACATAGATCATTGCACAGGGCTGTTACACAGAGCATTACACAGAGCATTACACAGGGCTGTTACACAGGGCATTACACAGGGCTGTACACGGGGCATTACACAGGGCTGTTACACAGAGTATTACACAGGGTACCAGACAGAGCTGTTAAACATGGCACTGTTACACAGGGCTGTTACACAGAGTATTAGACGGGCTGTTACACAGGGCAATACACAGTGTATTACACAGGGCATTACACAGAGCTGTTACATGGGGTATTAGACGGGGCTGTTACACAGGGCATTACACAGGGCTGTTACATGGGGCATTACACAGGGCTGTTACACGGGGCATTACACAGGGCTGTTACACGGGGCATTACACAGGGCTGTTACACAGGGCTGTTACACAGGGCATTACACAGGGCTGTTACACAGGGCATTACACAGGGCTGTTACACAGGCTGTTGCACAGGGCATTACACAGGGCTGTTACACGGGGCATTACACAGGGCTGTTACCCGGGACATTACACAGGGCTGTTACACGGGGCATTACACAGGGCTGTTACACGGGGCATTACACAGGGGCTGTTACACGGGGCATTACACGGGGCTGTTACACGGGGCATTACACGGGGGTGTTACACGGGGCATTACACAGGGGCTGTTACACAGGGCATTACACAGGGCTGTTACACAGGACATTACACAGGGCTGTTACACAGAGCATGACACAGGGCTGTTACACAGGACATTACACCGGGCTGTTACACAGAGCATTACACAGGGCTGTTACACAGGGCATTACACAGGGCTGTTACACAGAGCATTACACGGGGCTGTTACACAGAGCATTACACAGGGCTGTTACACAGGGCATTACACAGGGCTGTTACACAGAGCATTACACAGAGCATTACACAGGGCTGTTACACAGAGCATTTCACGGGGCATTACACAGGGCTGTTACACGGGGCATTACACAGGGCTGTTACACGGGGCATTACACAGGGCTGTTACACAGGGCTGTTACATGGGGCATTACACAGGGCATTACACAGGGCTGTTACACAGGGCATTACACAGGGCTTTTACACAGGGCTGTTACACAGGGCATTACACAGGGCTGTTACACGGGGCATTACACAGGGCTGTTACACAGAGCATTTCACAGAGCATTACACAGGGCTGTTATACAGATCATTACACAGGGCTGTTACACAGGGCATTACACAGGGCTGTTACACAGGGCATTACACAGGGCTGTACACGGGGCATTACACAGGGCTGTTACACGGGGCATTACACACGGCTGTTACACAGGGCATTACACAGGGCTGTTACACAGGACATTACACCGGGCTGTTACACAGAGCATTACACGGGGCTGTTACACAGGGCATTACACAGGGCTGTTACACAGAGCATTACACGGGGCTGTTACACAGAGCATTACACAGGGCTGTTACACAGGGCATTACACAGGGCTGTTACACAGGGCATTACACAGGGCTGTTACACGGGGCATTACACAGGGCTGTTACACAGGGCTGTTACACAGGGCTGTTACACAGGGCTGTTACACAGGGCTGTTACACAGAGCATTACACAGGGCAGTACACAGGGGCTGTTACACGGGGTATTACACGGGGCTGTTACACGGGGCATTACACAGGGCTGTTACACGGGGCATTACACGGGGCTGTTACACGGGGCATTACACGGGGCTGTTACACGGGGCATTACACAGGGCTGTTACACAGGGGCTGTTACACAGAGCATTACACAGTGCATTACACGGGGCTGTTACACAGGGCATTACACGGGGCTGTTACACAGGGCATTACACGGGGCTGTTACACAGGGCATTACACGGGGCTGTTACACAGGGCATTACACGGGGCTGTTACACAGGGCATTACACGGGGCTGTTACACAGAGCATTACACAGGGCTGTTACACAGGGCTGTTACACAGGGGCTGTTACACAGGGCTGTTACACAGGGCATTACACAGGGCAGTACACAGGGGCTGTTACACAGGGCTGTTACACGGGGCATTACACAGGGCAGTACACAGGGGCTGTTACACGGGCATTACACAGGGCTGTTACACGGGGCATTACACAGGGCAGTACACAGGGCAGTACACAGGGGCTGTTACACAGATCAGGGACTGGGGGTGTGCGCGGTTTGCGGATGACGAGAGTGCGCTCCAGTGACAATAGCGGTGTGAGAGGTGCGGACTCCGCTCTCAGTCACTCACTCCACTCACTCACGCACTCACTCAGCAAAACGCACACACACTCTCGGCTCTGCTCTGCTCTGCGGGTGAGTCCCCACTGCCTCGAACGAAACTTTCTGTGCAATCATTTTGCGATGTGTAGACAACGAAAGAGAGCCGGAAAGAGAGAGAGAGAGAGAGAGAGAGATGAGAGAGTCGGGGAAGGAGTTTAATTGGTTTTTTTTTAACGTGAGACACTTTTTTTTCAAAGAAAAAGGGGGAGAGAGAGAGAGAGAAAAAAAAAGGACCAAAGTTTTGTTTCTCTCTTTTTTTTTTGGCATCGAAACCAATGGAGTTTGCGGTTTGGGATGAACGTGGGGACTGGAAGTGTCTGAGAGAGTGAATGAATGGGTTTATTGTTTGTCACAGAGGGGAAACTTACCCGATCTGTTGGTGCTGAGTGAGGGGTATCACGTTGGAAGAGGGGGGGAGAAAAGAGAGGTAGAGAGAGAGAGAGAGAGAGAGGGGGTTGGGGGGGAAGGAGAGGTAGTGGAGGGATAGAGAGAAAGAGGAAGAAAGAGAGGTAGAGGAGAAAGGGGGGGAAAGAGAGGTAGAGGAGGAAGAGGGGGAAAGAGAGGTAGAGGAGGAAGGGGGGGAAAGAGAGGTAGAGGAGAAAGAGGGGGAAAGAGAGGTAGAGGAGGAAGGGGGGGAAAGAGAGGTAGAGGAGGAAGAGGGGGAAAGAGGTAGAGGAGGAAGTGGGGGAAAGAGAGGTAGAGGAGGAAGTGGGGAGAGGTAGAGAGGGGAGAGGTAGAGGAGAAAGAGGGGGAAAGAGAGGTAGAGGAGAAAGAGGGGGAAAGAGAGGTAGAGGAGGAAGGGGGGAGAGGTAGAGGGGGGAGAGGTAGAGGAGAAAGAGGGGGAAAGAGAGGTAGATGAGGAAGGGGGTAGAGGTAGTGGAGAGAGAGAAAGAAGGAAGAAAGAGGTAGAGGAGAAAGAGGGGGAAGGAGAGGTAGTGGAGAGAGAGAAAGAAGGAAGAAAGAGGTAGAGGAGAAAGGGGGGGAGAGGTAGAGGAGAAAGAGGGGGAAAGAGAGGTAGATGAGGAAGGGGGGAGAGGTAGAGGAGAAAGAGGGGGAAAGAGGTAGAGGAGGAAGTGGGGGGTGAAGGTAGGGGAAGAGAGAGAGGTAGAGAAAGAGGGGAAAGAGGTAAAGGAAGAGAGTAGAAGAGAGAGGGGGGAAAGAGAGGGGGAGAGAGGTAAGGTAGTGGGGGGAGAGAAAGGGAAAGAGGTGGGGGGAAGAGGTAGGGAGGGGGAGAGAGGTGGGGGGGAAAGAGAGAGAGGTGGGGGGGGGAAGAGAGGGAGAGGTGAGGGGGGAAGAGAGAGAGAGGTTGGGGGGGGGGCAAGAGAGAGAGGTGGGGAGGAAGAGAGAGAGAGGTGGGGGGAAAGAGAGAGAGAGGTGGGGGGGAAAGAGAGGAGAGGTGGGGGGGGGGGGGGAAGAGAGAGAGAGAGGTGAGGGGGGAAGAGAGGAGAGGTGGGGGGGGGAAAGAGAGAGAGGTGGGGAGGAAAGAAAGAGAGAGGTGGGGGAAAGAGAGAGAGAGAGGTGGGGGGAAAGAGAGGGTGGGGAGAGAGAGAGGGGTGGGGGGAGAGAGGGGTGGGGGGAGAGAGAGGGGTGGGGGGAGAGAGAGAGGGGTGGGGGGAGAGAGAGAGGGGTGGGGGGAGAGAGAGAGGGGTGGGGGAGAGAGGGGGTGGGGGGGAGAGAGAGAGGGGTGAGGAGAGAGAGGGGTGGGGGGAGAGAGAGAGGGTGGGGGGAGAGAGAGAGGGGTGGGGGGGAGAGAGAGAGGGGTGGGGGGAGAGGTGGGAAGAAAGGGAAAGATAGAGCGAAAGAGACGTAGAGAAAGAGAGAGTGAGAGTGAGGGAAGGAAAGAAAGCGAAGGAGAGAGAGAGAGAGAGAGAATTGCGGGAGAGAGGGAGAGAAAGAACGAAATAGTAAGAGGGAAGACAGAGAGGAGGGGGGAAGGAAAAAAAAAGGGGGGACAATGGGGAGAGAGAAAAGGGGGGAGAGAGAAAAGGGGAATGGGATGGAGGAGGGGGGGATGGGAAGGGGGGGTGAGAGAAAGGGGGGATGGGGAGGGGGGGTGAGAGAAAGGGGGATGGGGAGGAGGAAGGGATGGTGAGAGAGAAAGGGGAATGGGGAGGAGGAGGGGGATGGGAAGGGGGGGCAGGGAACGAATGGGGGGTGGGAGGGGGGGGGAAAGGTTAGGACAAGAAGCCAAGAAGGAAAAGGGGGAGAGAGAGAGAGAGAAAGGGGGGAAAAGGTTAGGACAAGAAGCCAAGAAGGAGGGAGAGAGCCTCAGGTTACTGTCCCACCCCCTGAGGGATCCCTGTGACAGATACTCAGACAGAGAGCCTTGTCCTTGTGTGTTGTGTTTGTTATTATACTGTACCAACTTTTGTCTTGTAGAAAGTTATACTTTTCTTCACTATTAATTGTGTGTGTGTGTGTGTGTGTGTGTGCAATATATATATGTATATATATTTTAAAAGAAACTTAAACACAGATTTTCGGTTGTCGAAAAGCCATCTATTTAAACGAAAAAAGTTTTGAAAGTTTCAAATAAAAGTTTTGCATTTTTGGTTTCGTTGAAAAAAAAACTCCTTTAGGAAAAGAAAACCCCTTTGAACGTACTCGATTCTTTGAATAAAAATCGACGTTAACCCCCAAAAAGCTTTAAAACAACCATTTTTAAGAAAGATATTGAGGTTCCTGAGGTTGAAATGCAGTTGCAGTTTAACTTGCTGCCTGGATCGAAGTTCAATCATTGAACTGGTGTCTGAAGAGAGGGAGAGAGGGGAAAAAGCACTTTACACCCATAATTTCAGTGCGTTGTTCTCTCGGAAGCATTAATGTAAATTGTTTGTGGGTCAAGTCACTGATGATTGAAGTAATATCTTTTTTTTCATGTACCAAATATCTTTTCACCATCAAATATCGAGCAAGTTTTTTTTTTTTGGAGGGGATTAAGATTTAGTAATTTCTTTTGCCTGTTTGTAGGTGTTTATTCTTGATGTCTGCCGCTCTGTCGTAAGGAATTGAGTGAAAATGAAGAGCCTGAAAGCAAAGTTCAGGAAGAGTGATGTAAGTACGAGACGCCGGTTGGCATGACTCTGGCTGGTTGATTAAACCTTGTTGACTCTTGACTCTTATCGCTGTAGACTTTTGACGAAGTGACAGGTTAATGAGCAGCGTCAGAATTTCGGAAGATTATGGCAGAAGAGAGTTTCAGGTTACCTGGCATTTTCTCTCTGTGGTTTTAACGCCCAGTTGTTTTTGCTGGAGTTTCATTGCCTTGTTCTGCAACTTTTAGGTTTTTTAAGTGCGTCTCTGCCTTCCTCAATTATCTTCGTGCAGGAATTACAATTTCACCTTAACGTCACAGTAAAACAACTTGAGTTTATATAGCGCCATTCGTGTAGGGCTGCGTCTTGGAGAGCTTGACAATGGCGGAGCTGACGTCGAGCCGGCGGGAGGGAGGAGGTGACTGTAAGCACGGTCGAAAAAGAAGTTCTTTGGTCATGATCTAAAAGAGGGGAAGGAGGGGGAAAGGCGGAGGGATTGGGGGGCAGAGAGGTAGTGGAGTAGGGAGAAAAGAGGTCAGAAAGGTAGGAGGGTGGCAGGGCATGAAGTAATTGGAAAGCAAGAGAGTGCAGTCTTTTGTAGCACCTTATCGCAAAACATCTTGTAGGGTGGTAGGGATTAAGCGTCTGGATTGCCTCTGTTTGCACAGACGAGTTCTTGTTCTGCTCTCTTTGGAATCTCCAGGAGTTGCCTGTGCCTTCCCTCTAACCATCCCTCCTTCTTTCACCTTGCTCGGCATCCCATGCCATTCGCATGGAGCACTTCGAAGTGCCTTCGGCCACATTCCCACTTCCCTCCAATCCTTTCGACATGGCGCTATATAATTGTAGTTTGCTTGTTGTTATTGGAAGGTGCAATTTTGTGTTTTGGAAGTTTACAGGTGTAAATGTAATTTGATAATTATCGCATGTTGCATTTACACCCCTGTCCTTGGCCACCAAATTAAATCGTCATTGACTCCGTGACTGTTTTTGGGGGGAGAGAGAGGGGTGGGGGGAGAGGTGGTTACCGTGAGCAAACTGTGCCATGTTTTGCCCACGAAAAACACCATGAATCCACTTTACAGTATATCCTGTGAAGCTCTTTGAGACTCCTCAACGATGTGATCAAGCTCTAAATCAAGTGCAAGGATTATTATTATTATTATGAATATTATAATAATATGCTCTGTGTGTTATGCATAACGCAGCAGTTGTACTGGACCAAGATACAAGTTGCTGAACAATTGCAAGTCTGATGACTCCAAAAAAAAGCGCTTTGTGGTTTGTGACTTCCTCAGAACATATGTTACAGCTATTTGTAGAGTTAATATTGCTGCTTTTGAGCAATTGCCTATGAATGCACAGCTGTGGTTTCATCATAAACTCTGTTTTACCCCATCCTTGTCTCATTTCGTGGTTTTTTTTTAAAACATCGTCTGTCTGCTGGGGTGGTCAGGTCATTGTCTGAATCACCATCGGGAGTGTGCTGACGATACAAGACCTTTATACTGGGGGAGTAATGCAGAAAGCAGCTTCACTTTGTGCTTCAAAGAGTCACAAGAGGTTACAACCGGGAATGATTTTAATGGTATCGTATCAAGGGAGCGTTTAACCCACGGGAGTGGTGGATATTGAGCAAGGAAAGGGAGGAGGTTAAAGGTAGCTATTGGAGAGGTCAAAGAGAGAGTCTTTTCAGAATTGGAAGTGAAATATGTTTTTTGGAAGGGTTCTGTTTGATTCCCGGACGGGGCCAAACCTTAGGCAAGTTCCCTTACTCCACACACCTCTGTTTAACTAGCAGTAAGTAGGAACCCAGTTGTTAGCCGATTGGCGGATCACTTTTCCAAGGGTAATCATCACTTCAAAAAATAATAATAATTTGGTCAATCAATCCATGACTGTTTGTGGGACACTGCTGTGCGCAATTGGCTGCTGTGTTTTGTCCACAAAATATACTGTCCCTACAATATCCAGCGCCTTGGGACGTCCTCCCGATGTGAAAGGTGCTATACAAATATAATTTTGTATTGTATATTCTGTGAAGCCTTTTCAGACATCTCGAAGGTGTGATAAAGAGCCACATGAAATGCAAGGATTATTATTATTATTATAGGGACACAATAGGGAGAGGGAGTATGTGAGTTGGACTGAAACAAACTGTAAACAAACACAAGGATTGTTATTACAAATACAGTACATTCATATATGTTGTGCGGAGGATGTCTCAAGGCAGTTGTTATTATTATTATCATCTTATTTACTTAAATGTTAACAAGAGTCAGAAAAGTGTGGATTGGGCAGGGCTTTAGAGCTGGAGAAGATTACACCATGGCAGAGGAATCGAGAGCAAGGATCTTGAAATCGATTTGCTCAGAGATGAGGAAGTTTAGCAATGTATAGATTGTGGAAGCGTGAAAAGCGAGAAGGGCATTGGAAAAATATACTGTTAGACGTGATGAAGATCTGGGACAGGCTTTGGTGGTAATGGTGTGGCAATGCCCCCAGAGGTGAGGATAGATGATCCTGGCAATTGTTTAACTTGCACAATGTGTCCAGATGCCAGGGATTTAGTGAGACCGGAAACAGTGATCAGACTCACTTTTATTGCAATGAGAGATGCTTGGTGAAGTGTATAAAGTTGGTTTGGACCATGTCAAACTGTAGACTTCCCACAAGTATGGTGTCTTGACTTGTGACTAATTTCTTTGCAGTTCAAAGTAATCCCTGAATGTGATGTTTTTCTATTTATTCAGCCTGACTCAGGCAGTAGCAGAGACCAGCTTTGGGGGTCTGGTGGGAAAAGAAAAGAAAAGAGACTTAACTGCCCTTAAGAGATGGGAGTGACATTATAGCGACACTAATTCGCCTTCCACCTTCCTGGCGGTTGCATGCACATATGTCCCAAACTATCTATGTGCTATATCCCATAATGTTATTTCCTAAAAGAAAACTATCTAATCTGTGTTTGAAAGATTAGATCAACCCTTATGCACTCTTAGAGTTAGATCAATTCTTAGAGCACTTTTATGCAGTGCTGGGGTGTGTAACGTTGTCAGATGTGCTCTCCTTAAGATGAGACATTAAACCGAGGTCTCGCTTATCTGTTTAGGTGGATGTTAGAGATCCCATAGCACTATTGGAAAAGAGAAGGGAGTTTCCCTTTCTGATGCCTGACTAACAATCCCCCAAATAAAATTGTCACTTACTTCATGGCTGTTTATGTGACACTGCCGGGTACAAATTGGCTGCCGCTTTTCGCCCACAAAATGCACAGTCACTTCACAGTATATCCTGTGAAGCACTTTCTGAGACGCCTCGACGACGTGATGAGGCGCTATATCAAATGCAAAGATTTTTTGTTTATTTATTCTTATCCTTGTTTGGATTGTCTTAAGTTCTTGCCTCTATCTTTCCCTCCACACTCCACATGAGCTCTTTCCATTTACTGTACGCTGATATTGTTTGGGTTTTTGCAATGCATGTTTATTGTTTCAGTTTCAATTAATGTAAAAATGCTAGTCTCTTTTTTTGGTTCAAAAAATCTCCTTGAAACAAGATGCTGAAAACCAGCATTGATGACCTCGCCTGCCTCCCCCACGCCCCCACCCCTGTCTCGGCTGGCGTCTCAGCTATTACTCATCGCTGTTCTTTTAGTGGATGTTTCCCTCCAGAGACTGGCTGGAATCTCGCAGCGTTACATGAAACCTCAATAAAAAAAATGACAAAGATAAATGCACGGACATAGGTATTAGAGTAGCATTAGTGGAGTCCTGTAGCTCAGTGGTTAGAGCACTCGCCTCGCAAGCGAGAGACCTGGGTTTGATTCCTGGGCAGGGCGAAATGTTAGGCACATTTCCTTACTCCACACACTTCTGCTTACCTAGCAGAAAGTAGGAATCCGGTTGTTAGTCGATTGGCAGATCGCTTTTCCGGGAGTAATAAATCCTTCAAAAAAATTTGGTCACTCAATCCACGACTGTTTGTGGGGACGCTGCCGTGTGCAATTGGTTGCTGCGTTTCGCCCACAAGATATAGAGTCAATTCAATTTACAGTATATTTAATGAAGCGCTTTGATACGCTCGAAGACATGATAAGGCGCTATATCAAATGCAAGGATTATTATTATTGTATTAGCATTGCTTTATTCTGGCATGTTATCCAGGAAATAGCTACTTTTTTAAAAAAGAGACAAAAATACCAGGTTGGTATTCATGTTACAGCAAACTTTTTTGGATCAGCTTTAAATGCAGCTCATCTGTTATTGAGAGCTCCCTTGTTCTTGTGTCAGTCTTTGATGTAATACAAAAGAACATTTAAGCCTTTTTTTAAAAAAAATCCTCTCTCTCTTCCTTTCCTCCCCTCCTTCCCCGGTACACATTTCATCTGTGCTTTGGCCAGATCACTTTGACATTGATATAGCGCCTTTGTGTCTTTCTTAAGCAGCGCGCCAGACTTGTAAATCATAGAGGAGGGGAGAGTAGATGGTGGTGGAGGAACAGATGAATGAGAAATAAGGAAGGGTCACAGTGCCTTAGCAGTTTGCATAATTAATTGCTTGTTGGGGTAATGTCAGAGCACCAGCAGATTAGCGTACAACGTAAAGTTTACAAAATGACAGTCACCTTACAGTATATCCTGTTGAAGCGCTTTGAGACATCATCCTGATGTTAGTGTCATGGCATCAAATGCAAGGGGTGACGGTGGTTGTCATTGTTAGGATAATAATCCTTGCATTTTATATTGGACCTTATCTTTTCGTTGAGACGTCTCAAAGCACTTCACAAGATATATTGTAAAGTGGATTGACTATTTTCTGGGCAAAACATGGCAGCCAATTGCGCACAGCAGTGTCCCACAAACAATTGTGGATTAAGTAACCAAATTATTAATTTTTAAAAAAATTTGGAAGGATTATTATCTCCAGAAAGCGATCTGCCAATTGACTAACAACTGGGCTCCTACTTACTTGCTCGGTAAACAGAGGAGTGTAGGGTAAGGAAATTTGCGTAAGGTTTTGC